GACAAATTTTGGTTAGATTCCAGATCACAATCTCCTGTGAGATGCACAGGTATTAGAGACTATTCTCACCCGTCCTAGGCTATCTTATTTCCTCACATGAGTAACTGTGTCCTTTACTGTATCTGCTTTGGCTTTACATGATCCCATTTGGCATTATTTCCTGAGTGATCCTTGCTTATACCTATATCTTGGATTGATATATTAATGATGTTGGCACCTTCATGACTTACAAGCTAGGGACTAAGCCTTCAATACATGAGACTTTTGAGGGGACAACAATAACCAAACTCTAAGAATATCAGACAATGTAGATACAAGTATTTCCCACATTGTAAGAGATTCCTTTGAATAATGCTGGAGTAGAAGAGAGATGAACATGATTTTATCTACTTTCAAAGGCATGGTATTTGAAACAGATTATACATCCATAGATGGGCAAGAATAGGTGACTTAGGCTAGGATCTTGGAAGCATTTGGATTACTAGTGAATTATATAAACACCTGAAGGATATAAATGAATTTAGTTTTGCTGTTAGGTTTTTGGCCTGTGGTACTGAATAGAGAATAGAAAGTTAAGGGAAGGTTGTCTAGGGTCTGTCTCAGTTACTGTTCTATTTCTGTGATAAGACACCATGACTAAGGCAACTTATAGAAGAAAGAATTTATTGGGAGCTTACAGTTTCAGAAGGCTAGAGTCCAAGAGGGGAGCATTGCAACAAGCAGACACAGGCATATGGCACTGGAGCACTAGCTGGGAGCTTACATCTTGATCCACAGGCATGAGGAAAGACATTGGAAATAGCCTGGGCTTTTGAAACTTCTAAGCCCCCTCCAACAAGGCCACACTTCCTCATCCTTCCCAAACAGTTCCACTAATGGAGGAGCAAGCAAATATATGAGCCTATGGGGGGCATTCTTATTCCAACCACATTGACACCCCACCCATGTACAGTCCTATGCAGGTTGAATATGCCCATCTCAGTTCTGGGTGGTCCATCAGGGGTGTGGCTGTAAATGTTCGTCTCAGTGTACTTACTGATGTGTGGCTTATCCCCTGCAGAGTGTCTTCAGCCAATTTCCACCTCACTGAATCTCTCCTGCAGTCTAGAAGTTTGTGCTTGTATAGGCCCATGACACTTTGCCTGAATTTTTTGAGTGCTGGCTACAGACGGTCTGCCTTTCTCTTTTTTTTTTTTTTTTTTTTTAAAATCCACCCTTTCAGTGTGTCCCCTGCTGCTAAGGTGGAGGGCAGTATTTCCTTCCTTCCTTCCTTCCTTCCTTCCTTCCTTCCTTCCTTCCTTCCTTCCTTCTTTCCTTTCCTCCCTCCCTCCCTCCCTCCCTTTCTGTCTCTGTGTCTCTTTCATGTCAGGGTTTCTCTATATAGCCTTTGCTGTCCTGGAACTCTTCTGGGATTAAAGGCATGCACCACCACTGCCTGGCTTTTGTTTTCTGAGACAGTTTCATGTGTCATTCATTCATTCATTCATCCTTGCAATTTAGCCAGGTAGGACCTTGAACTCATATGCCTCCACCTCCCAAATTCTGGGATTACAGATGTGTGCTTATCCATTTTGGCTTTAAAGCTTTCTTCTAACATGGTAGGCTTCACTGTGTAGTAACTTGTGATAAGATAGGTTGCTCAGTGGGGGACACCCTCTCCCTCCTACTTTGTTCATTTCAGGACCATCCAGGTACTAAATCTTAACCACTAGGCAGTAGGCCATCTCAGGCAGGGCAGGAGGATGTGGACTGCCTGCTCCCTCCTGGGCCTTACCTCTTAGAGGGGAGCAGAACAATGGCAGAACCAGTTTTCTATGCATGCTACTTCAGAGCCTTGCTAGCACGCCCCTTCATCCATCCCACAAGGAGCTGCTTGCTTTTCCAGAGCCCGTGGAAAGCCCTTCCTACTCAGTTTTTCCATGCAATAACCGCCCACCTGTGAACTAGGTAGGTCCGGGCTGCAGCTGGCAGCGGGGACGGAGTCTTACTTCAGAGAGTCTTACTTCAGTCTTACTTACTGCTCTTTTTTACTTCTAAAGAGAACAGGTCTCCCCAGTCACAATCCAGACCAATGTAGAGACCCTGCAACTTCACAGCCCACAAAGGACTTTCAGGGCTTCCACAGTCTTTGAGAGCTGCCTGGAAAGGCTGCAAAGGATTCATGAAACCTGAGAGGACTCCTGCAGATTTGGCCTTTAAGGATAACTGTTGAAGATGACCCGATTTTCTAATAGCATCTGTCTCCTGGATGCTAACTCAGGAATGGGGTTATGATGGGAAACCAGAGAAGAGACACAGAATAATTATTTGGAAGTTGGCCTTGTGTTAGCGATTAATCGGCAAGGGGCTTTAAAACTTCAGGATGAAATAATTGAAACCTGTTTTTACTAAATGCCATTGCAGTCACATAAAGCCTTACTCCAGCTTCCACAGCCACGCCGGGGAGTGGAAGGAGAAGACCCATGCAAGAGTTGAAGCAAGGTAAAGGAGCCTGACATGGGTAGAGTCCCTCCCAGGACAGACCTCATCCAGGTGCAGAACTTAACCAGGGTATACCCAGCCCATATGTGTGTCTTTGGGGCTCATATCTCCTGAAGGGATAGCTCAGAAGCTGCAGCTCAGGTCAGGGCACCGTCATCTCTGTCTTGGTGATTGCAAACAAAATCAGGTCTGAGGTCTCTTATACCTGCTTTAAACCTTGTCTTGGGAAACAAACAAACAAACACAAACAAAACAAAAACCCCCACAAGAATGTCCTATACTCTAAAGGCAATGTCTCAGACAAATTCTACATCCATGGAGGGGAGTGTGGTGCAGGGCTGGATCTTCCTGCTCTAAGGATGGGGTCTGGGGACATTAGGCAGGCCTCTGTTATCTAACAAGGACAAAAAATTCTACACAGTAGAGCTGACAACCAACTTCTCCATAGCCCAAAAAACAAACAAGGCTGGTGGAGAGGTTTGGATGGAGACTTGCTGCCTCACACACCTAAATCAGAACACTACAGAGAGGGCAGGAACCCAGGGAGAATTTCTTGTTAAGGGCAGCAGACTCCTGGGCCCTGTTATTTCTCAGGGTTTTGGTATCTGGGGCTAAAAGAATCACAGATAGTGCAACTGGTTGCGTGTGTCCCTTTTGGGGGTACCTCCTGCTCTGGTCCAAGCTCTGTAGGGGGTACTTTCCCCTGCCTCTGGGGGCTAGTAGTCTAGTACATGTCCTTGTTTGGTTCTACAGCAACCCCACCCTTCAGCATTCAGACTTCCTGTGGGGAATAGCTCTTTCTTGGAAGCCCAGATGTGCCCAAGAAGCCATGCTGGGGACTCCTGTTCTTAAGGAGTCTAAAGGAGGTAAAATACCAATTTTGCATTTTACAAAGTGCTTCTGAAGAATGGTCTCACTGTGTAGCCCTGGCTGGCCGAGAACTCACTGTAAAGACCAGGCTGACCTCAGACTTGCAGCCCCTCCTGGGTGCTAGGATTATAGGTGTGCATCACCATGTCCTGCTATCAGATACATTTGGTCACGGAAACCCAGAAACTTGTACAAGGCATGACAGAGCCACAGTTTGAAGCACTGTGACTGAAAAGGGTGACTTAGTAGCAGGGTGCTCATAGCTGTCATAAGCTGCATGGGTGACAGGTCTGACACCGGCCCTCAGCCCGGACAGTCTACTTTGTGTCTCCTGTGTGTCTGCCTTAGATGGGCGGGCTGCGGTAGGGTCAGTCTGCAGTGTATGGTGGCCACTTCACAGGCCACCCTAGGGAAGCCTGGCCAGCTGTTGGCTTGATCTGGGGAAAGGGGAAACAGCACTGCTGGGCTCTGGCTGTCTTGTCCACCACACCTCTGCCAGGCAGAAGTGGTCTTCCCCATGTCTCCATGGTCCCTTTTCCAGAGCTGAGGGGACAAAACTCCTGCTCCAGGACAAGTTGTTCAGTTGCTTTTTCATTTTGCAACTGCGTTTTTGGAACCAACTGAGTCTGAGCTGCAGTTCCCCCGAGGTTAAAGCTGGGAGGCTTCTTTTGTCTGAGCTCAGGGAAGGGCATGGGTTTACTATAGCTCCATGTCTGCCTATGTGGATACTTGCAGGGCAGAGGTGACCTCTACACCCATAATTCAAGCTTTAGCGAGAAGGACACCTTTACAGACATCGAGTCATTTTCCTTAAACATGTTCTGGACACCCCCATGCTTTTCACTGCTGCATGCACCAGCAGTGGCAGGTTTTAAAGGAATGCTGGGCAGATGTGACAGCTCAGAGAGCAAGGCGGCTCAACAGGAGTCAGCAGGCCAGTAGACTTTAACCTGTGCACTGAGAAACTGGACCCGCTCCTTGGTTCCCAGAAACTTCTTCGAAAGCTCTCTAGGGATTCTCCGGCTGTGGGCATGCTTCTACTCAGCATCCCAAGCTTAGACTATCTTATCTTACAGCATGCTCTTGTTAATTCAGATAGTTTCCTGAACCAATTAAGATGGCCTCTCATTGCTGTCTGCCAGCCAGATACAGGCCAAGCTGGTGTATCTCTGTAAGTAACCTTATCTAAAGGCTCAGTCCCAGCAGTGAATTCACTGTGTGTTCTTCGGTTACTTTTTTGTTTTGTTTTTCCTTTCCTTTCCTTTTCTTTTCTTTTCTTTTCTTTTCTTTTCTTTCTTTCTTTCTTTCTTTCTTTCTTTCTTTCTTTCTTTCTTTCTTTCTTTCTTTCTTTCTTTCTTTTTTTTTGAGACGGTTTCACTATGCAGTCCTAGCTGACCTCAAATTCACAGGGATACTGCAGCCTCTGCCTCCTTCCTCAGTGCTGGGTAGATGCCCCCACACCCAGCTCATTCGGTTACATTACTAAGAGCATCTTAGGTTGGAATTCTTCCATGTTATTCACATGTTTTCCTATCTTCCTGGCTCTAGAACACTATTTGAAATCTCCCAGAGAAGTAAACTCCGCAGTGAGGGCATGTTGAAAGTGCAAACACTTCCCCCCGCCAAAGCCCAAGGCTTATAAACAGCACCGTACAGCATCTATGATTGATTCATTTTTTTTTTTTTAACTAAGGCACATGACGTTTAGAAATACTGAGGTACAAAATGCAAGTTTCTGCATGAGATTTCTAAAGTACTCCTTTGGAAAATGATGATGAAAAATCATCTTCCAGCAGCTTCAGCTTTTAGCTTGCTTTTTCTTTTGGACCAGTTCAACCAGCAGCTTGTATCTAGCAATACAGTCTTCCTGTAGGAAGAAAAAGAGGTGGTAACAGTTACTTCCATGGGCAGTACCCCCAGTGTGACCTAATTGTGCCCAGTCCTAATGACAAAGCCGTGTCTTCATTTCTTGAAACCTTCTGGATCATCCTGGGAAAGCCCAGCTGGTCCCTGGCAGATCTGGGCTGAGAAGACCTGCTGTAAGGCTGGCCACAGTGATGGTGACGGTGGACACAGCTTCTGAGAGTGCAATCATCCTGACAGTCCCCACCTCAACTTGGGAATTGTTCCTATCATGGTAGCATCCACTCACTACCTTGTCATTTTAGGTTCCAGAAATACCAAGCAACCTGAAACCACAATGCTCTTTCCCTTTGGATGTACCTCTCCCTGGTGGCTGCTGGGACCTTCCTTTGTGAGCCACAACACACAACTAGCAAGGAAGGTGACCAAGTCTTCCTCACACTTTTCCCTACTCCCACCTGTCATCCACGCCATCAGGCTACAGGATGATAACCTCAGAACAGACAAGGCAGTGGAAAAGGCCTCATCACCTCAGGTGGGCACTATGTTTCAGAAGCCATTCTGCTTCTGTGTCCGTAATGCCAACGCTATGCTACTGTGAGCTTGTAAACTCAGGGCCCAGGGCAAATGACTGCTGTTCTGGTGCCTGGGACAGGAAAGGTGCCCATCCAGCCGCAGGATTCAACCTTCAACCTTCCTGAGCTCTGAGCAGGCAGCTGGCATGAAGTCACCTCAGTCAGGCTCTACACCAGATTCAGTGGGCAGCCCTCCTGCACCTGCAGTGTGAGCCCTAAGGAATGCCTGTGGGCACTCTGAAGCCCTGATCCTCTCTGGTGGAAACCAGAAAGTTCCAATCCTGGTCTCATGCTCAGGAGCAAAACTCAATTTATCACACGTGTAAATGGCTGAGTTTGACAGAAGTTAGAGAAACTCAATGGAAATAATTACTTCTGGCAAACCAACTGGAGGTATTGGGAGAATCTGCTTCCTAAAGAGATCAACTGCTAATGGTTTATTTTTCTCCCCAGAAACTCTTAGTTTCATCATCATAAAGTAGGTGACAGATAACTAGACCTGTGCACACAGGGACACGCAATGGCCACAAGCTAGATTTTCCAACATAGAATTTCAATTAAAACAAAATAAGTATGTAAATGAGCATCAGTGTGCCCAGAGGCTACTTTTGATTTCTCCCTGCTCCTGGTGCCTCACACTAGAGCACGGCCTGCAAGGAGGACGCTGTGCTGGGGGAGGCTGGCTCTCCATGAATGACAGGAAGGCATGCGTGGCTCTCGGCAGGACACTCCTTCCTGTGTATTTGAGACGGACATATGAGCAGCTGTATAGAGCTGCAGACAGTCATGTGTCAAGGTCAACTGTAGAGACCCCACATGAACACCCAGCCTTTGGGTGCTGAGGTGCCACCACAGACTTCAAGCTCATGCCACTGCAGAACTGAGTCACTACGACTCAGTTGGCCCTACTCGCCCTATCCTGCCTTCTGTGGAGCAGTGACAGACTGTCCTTCCTGAGTAGAAAGAAGTTTTCAGTAGGCTGTCAGCTACTGTGTGGAGTTTGTTTAAAAACATACATATTACATATCTGTGTGCACACATTCTATGTTACATACATTTACACTTATTTTTTTTTTGTGTGTGTACATGCATGCATGTTTGTGGCCAGAGCACGGATGTGGAAGTTGGGACAACTTGAGGGAGTTGGTTCTTGGTATCCACAGGAGTGCATTCCAGGGATTGACCTGGTCATCAGGCTTGAGGGCAAGCACCCTCACCCACTGAGCCATCTGGCCAGCCTGAGTTCCATTTCTTTGAGAAGAAGGCTAGCACCCTGACCTCATTTCTGCCCTGGCAGTGTGCAAGTTCACAAACTGAACAGAGACTGAAGAAATCTGTGAAACACAAGGTAGATAGCAGGCACAGGAAAGACTGGTGTAACCAGTAAAGCAAGCATGGTACCCACCTTGCTCTTAGATGGGACACATTTGGCTATTTTGTCCCAGCGGTCAGAGGCTCCTTTGGGGTACTGCTGTAGTGCCAGTTCTAGAAGTTTCTGCTGACTCTGAGTCCAGGCCTCCTCTGTAGCTCGAGTTCTTTCTTTTCTCTGGTTCTCTTCATCACTGGATTCATTTTGTTCTGAAATATCAAAGTCTTTTTGCCTCTTTCCTCTTGGTTTCTTCTCTGGCTCCACTCTGGTCACTGCCTCAGCCATTCTGGCTGACTTTCGCCTCCGAAGCCGGGCTTCTATGGCCACTGTCTCCTCCTCACCCTCAGCAGTCTCTTGTCTCTCATCCTCCATGGCCCCTGCCGAGTCCTCCCGCTGGGTGATGATATCATCTGGCAAGGTTGTGGCTGTCTTGACTGGCCTGGAATTCTGAACATTTGACTTAAGTTCCGAGAGCCTGACCATTCCTAGGAAAGGGCCACAGAACACAGCAAAAAGGCCATGATGAGCTCAGGCAACCAACAGCATCTACCACTATATACCAGGCAATGTGCTAGGCATTCTATACATATTGCTTAGTTTACCTTTTATACTATTCACCCTCCGAAAGCAGCAGAGATGGGAGTTGGACCTAGTTCTGATTTCTTGTCTTTGTCCTTGTTCTAAGAATTAAGGGTATATATGGTTAGGCTGTGATCAAAGAATAGGGACCTTTTAGAGAAGGAAACCTTATATTCATTAGACAGGGGAGGGCATTCTCCATAATCTAAGTTTCATTAGTTCTATCACTGTAATTAAAATACACGAGGTAGGCTAAGCATCGTGCCTCCTTTGCAGGCAAGCCCATAGACACAGCACTCTAGAACTCTCGCCACTTTTTATTTATTGTGTAGGTATGGAAGCCAGAGCACACCTTATGGGACTTGGTTCTTCCCTTCTACCATGTGGGTCCCAGGGAATTGAACTTAGGTGATCAAGCCTCGTGACAAGTGCCTTTACCTGCTAAACCATCGCCCCAGCCCAAGGTGAACTTATTTTATTTTTGAGACATGTTTCCCTGTGTAGTCCTGGCTGTCCTGGAACTCAGAGGTCTATCTGCTTCTACCTCCTGAAGGCATGTGTCACCGAGGTGTGTGTATATATATATAGTTTGTTTATCAAGACAGAATTTCTCTGTGTAGCCCTGGCTATCCTAAAACTCACACACTGTAGACCAGGCTGGCTTCAAATTCAGAGATCTGCCTGCCTCTGCTGGGTTTAAAGGCTTATGCCACCACACCAAGCTTAAAAATGTTTTTGAAGTAAACTTTATTGCTTGTCAAGAAATGTTGAATTTCTTAGACTCTAAAATACACATTAATATCCCCTCCTGAAATTCTTACCCAATGTTCCACTTTCCTTGGGGAAGAGGAAGGCTCTGGAATGCAATTTCACCAGTCCACCCTTCCAGCACCTTGAGCTTGGGTAAAAAGGGACAAAATTGCAGTCCCAGTAGTCTGAGAATAGCTCTTGGTAGAGTTGGTCCACTCAATAAGACAGTATGCTGCCGGTCACCATTGTCTCGTTGCAGACTGACAGACATACAGTTGAATATTTCTTTACCCTCACATACCCTCCTGGCTGGGTGTGACAGGAGAGCTGTGCTCACAGCCACTCTGCAGCATTCATTTGCACACGGCCCTTCCTGCCTAGCAGCACTGCCCACCACTCGAGGCCTGAGTTCACCTTGAAAGACCTGGCAATCAGGGCTCATTTCTCCCTCGGCATCACATTTGATGCCACTGTAGACAGAGGAAGTTTCTGAGCTGTCATTATCTTCAGGGAAACAAAATACCAGGCTAATGAGATGGCTCTGAGGGTAAAGATGCTTGTCACCAAACCTGGTAATCTGAGTTTGACCCCAGGACCCAGATTGTGGAAGTAAAGAACAGATATCATTCCCCACCCAAGGTTGTCCTCTGGCTTCCCTATGCACAAAGTGGCACACAGAGATACATATATACATTTAAAGACACACAGCAGGAGAATTAGAAGGGGTGATATGGCTGCCTAGCATAAAAGGGCATTCTGTCCACCTGTGGGGTGGTCAGCGTGAGCACACTGTCTCCCTACCTGTCATCAGAATGGCCTCTTTAGTTCTGAGGCCTTGATAAATAAGTAGGGATGCCAAACTGACTGCTTTCTAAAACTACTAATTGAAAAAAAAATAGTATCATGAAATTTCACTACCAGTATTGGGGAAAAAAAAAAAAAGAGAAAAGTAGGTAACACTGGATATAACATCAAGTTGGCAGGTTAGCTCCAAAGTCTATTTACTATGTTGCCTGGTGCTTAGCTGAATAGGACAATAAAGAAAGGTACAAACAATGAAGTGGGGTAGTGCACAGCTGGTTGTGCTCACAAGAGTGGACAATTCCACATAAATTATCCTTATACCAATCAGTCTTTTTTCCCCCAGAGCTGAGGATGGAACTCAGAGACTTCCTTCAAAGTGCTTTAAGGCTGAGTGAAGTCCCTAACCCCCAGATAGGTTTTTAAAATTTTTTTTTATTGTTTAAAAATTTTAATTTATTTAAGCCAGGCAGTGGTGGTGCATGCCTTTATTCCCAGCACTCGGGAGGCTGTATGTGTGTATGCATATATGCCATGGTACATGTGTGACAGTCAGAGGACACCTGTGAGTTCTTTTCTTACATCTGGGTCCCACAAATTAAAATCAGGTTGTCAGGCTTGGCAACAATTGAACTTTTATCTGCCAAACTATCTTATTTACCCATATCAGCTGATTTTGCAAATTGCTGTAAGCTTTCCCTACAACACACACTCATATATGTACTTATATACTGTCATGTAATTCAGGCTGGACTTTAACTTGCTATAATTGAGAGTGACCTTGAACTCCTAATCCTTTTGCCTCCACATCCTAAGAACTGGGATGACAGGCATACATGACCATTCCCAGTTACAATCATTTTGGCCACAAAATACCTATATAAAATAGTATAAAATGAATAATATATAGCATATAATAGATGCATATAAGTAAATGCTTTCCTGAAACACAAATATATTTCTAAACAGTTACTTTCATTGTTTAAAAAGCCACCTTTGTTTCTCTGAAGCATTTTATCTTACCATCTGGAGCCAAGTTTAGAACTTTTACTGATAAAAAGTGTGAAAGATTTTTTTGTTTTTTTTTTTTGTTTTGTTTTTTGTTTTTTTTTGATTTTTCAATACAGGGTTTCTACTGTGTGGCTTTGGAGCCTGTCATGGAACTCTGTAGACCAGGCTAGCCTTGAACTCACAGACATCTGCCTGCCTCTGCCTCCTGAGTGCTGGGATTAAAGGCGTGTACCACCACAGCCTGGCTAAAAAGTATGAAATTTTAATTCACTAACTTTTTAAAGTATTTTGTTACACTACTAGGCGCCTCTGTATGACATGAAACTGTCCCAGGCTTGCTCTCCATGTCATTCAGAAAGTGCCACTGACAGCAGAGGGGCTGAGCTACTAGGTTGTCCTAGATGGTAGTGAGCTCAAGTAAGCTCACGAAAGTGAGTGAGGGCGCTGCCAACACATGTCCTCTTAAGTGTTAGCCCATAAGGGACTCTGGTAATGGACAGTGAGACTCTGGCTTAATTCTGTAGACCAAATAAAAGAAACCTGTTCATTCCTCACTATTTTAGATGGAAAGTAAGCAGGAGAAATCCTAACATAGTCTTCCTATGCTCTTCCTACACTGAAGAGAACCAGCTCTCCCTGTCCCTCTCCGTGTGTGTGTGTGTGTGTGTGTGTGTGTGTGTGTGTGTATGTGCACAAACACATTTTTTTTTTTTCCCAAATGCAGGGTCTCAACTAACGCAGCCTGGCTGGTCTCCCACTTAGTGTAACTCAAAGAACAACTTCATATACCTCACTTTGGAGAATAGATTTGTGATTCTTTTCAAAGGAAATCTGGATATGATTATGCCTACACAATCAGGTAGCTACTCAGGAGGCAACAGAAAGACCCATGAAGATCCAGGGCAGTCTCTTACTGTAACTGCAGTAGCTTTCCTCTACCACAGTTTCTGGAGAGAGTTGGCAGTAGGCTACGTTCTGTGGTATACCACTGTCCACTCTCTGTCCCTGAGTCCAGACAAATCACTTGGTAGAACACCACACTGAACTGTCTCTGAGGAGACTGGGCTCCCCAAGTATGCTAACACTAGAAATCTTTAAACTTACTAAATACAAATCCTCAGCATCAACTACGTGTGCAGGACCAGACTGACTTATTGTCTATGACTAACCTCCTTCAAAGACAGGAGCAGCAGAGGTCTCTGGGCAAACTACCACCCCTGGGATTTAAAGACATTATTACACAAAGGGATTAATCGTGAAGAAACCCATCATAGTAGTAACAAGCGACTGAATCTTTCAATGGCTTGGATACATGGAATAAAAACCAGTAAGGTGGGAACTCACCTGGGGAGCAGGTAACTGAGTCCTTCAGTTCCTTGGCTTTGGTCGTCACCTGTTTAATAATATAAAAAGCAAGTCATCTTACTTTCCATGTCTTGCAAGCTGATTTTTTTTTTTTTTTTTTCACATAAGGCCATGTGAAGGAACAGGGCTCACGGGAGTCATAAACATAAGAGATTGAAGAAGCCCTGAGTGAGTGTGCATTGCTGGCATGAGCCTTCCTCCCAAGTGCAAATATAGGCAGTGTGTGCAAGTATAAACAATTGACCAAGGTGCCCAGACTGCCAACCGCAGCTTCTTCCTCCAGGATATTGGAAGCCTGGGAATGCCCCCAACCTCCTTGTGCTATACATAATAAATGTGCTGAGATTCTCAGTTGTAGTTGTTGGGCTGCTTCGGTAGGAAGCTGGGGTAGCTGGTGTGCTCTTTCAAAGCAAGTAGTACACCTGATCCCAGCTTTTCTGTACAGGTATCTGTCCTTTCTTTATCTCTTCACCACTCCCAGTGAGGTCCAGTCCTAACCTCACTGATTATAGCACTCAGGTTAGTCTACTTAAGGAAACTGAGGCCCAAGAAATTAAGTGTTTTGCTCTAAAATACCCATCAACAATAGAATCAGAACCCAAATCATTTCACTAACTTATGCTGGCAGTTAATTAGGCTAGATTGCTTCCTAAAACAGTTTTAAAATAGCTGTGCAAATGGATCACTATTTTCAGTTAGGATTTCTAGAAACTGAATGTATCTCTTCACTGGGAGATATTGTACCAGTGAGTATAGTAGAGTTGGGGGTGGAATAACGTTCATGCTAATGATGTTTTAAGGTTCTCCATAGACTGGAAAGAAACCAAAAATCACAAAAGAGTATACCAGAGGGACAGTTTTTGGTGGGTCAAGGCATATGGATCCAAAAAAAATAATAAATCAGTGGTATTTATGAATTAAGAATGGTAAACTCTGTGATACTAATACCACTTAGCTTTTAAGGGAATTTTTAAAGACTTATTTTATGTGAATGGGTATTTTGCCTTCATGTGTTATGTGCACTACATGCATGTAGTGCCTGTGGAGGCGAGAAAAGGGTGTCATGTCCTGGGACTAAATGGTTGTGAGCCACCATGCTGTTGCTGTGAATTGAACCAGGGTTCTCTGCAAGAACAAAGTGCTCCAAACAGTTGAGCCATCGCTCCAGGTCCAACCATGCTTAAGTTGGAAATAAGCTCTTAACATGAGGCATGGAAGATATTTAAAACTTGGTAAGTCATGCAGAAGGCAGAGTATGAGAAACATTTAAGGTTGGTTAGAAACACTAATTTACCTTTCCCCAACAGATTAATGTCTCCTATTTAGAAGAAGCAAGCTGAAGTTATATAAGTTAACTTCCAAGTTTTCCGAATTACAAATTTCTCCAAATCTGATTGCATTATCGTGTGCCTCTTCCTTCCTGCTATTGCACACTCACTGAGCTCACCTTGATAAATTTCCTTCACTTCTATCATCAGCTTTTTCCTAGCCACTGGATACATCCCATAATCCTAAACCTTGGATTTCCCAGGGTCCCCTCTTTTCCACCCCACCCCCCAGTCTGAGAGTCACCTCCCTGGCCTCTCCACTTCCTGTCCTGACTTGTGCTCCCTACCTCCTGTGCTTGCCAGTCTATGCTTGTTCCCTGCCTGCCTTTGGTTCTCTTTCTATTCACCTCAGTTGCTATTTGCTGTTAGCAATACTGATTCTATATAACAACAGTAATTAGTAACCAGTGTCTTGCCCATTTCATAGAAATTCAGATCTGAAAGGGGCTTCAGTAATAAGCTGTGTACCAGACAGTGTGCATATACGCCTATTCAGAGTAAACTCTGTATACACATATCCTAACAACAGCCACATTTAGTTATATGGCTCTTAGTCCACTTCATAAATCTGAGACCCAAAGAGAATAAATAATGTGAGATGAGGAGCTTAGGCAAGAAGAGATCTAAGACTCTTGCCCCAATCATGATAATATACCATGTTTGGAAATGAAATCTCTTATTTTATAGGCTGAGAAACAGGTCAGGTGTTCTTTCACTACATCTCATTATGCTAGGCTCTGCTAGGTCCACAGACTAAACAAACTTCAAACAAAACCAACGATGTCTCTAAGAATAATTTCTCTGCTTCCTGGACAGGTCTTGCTAGGCACACCAAGGCTGGCCTCAAATTCATGCCCCTGCTGCTCCTGCATGCTGGGGCTGTAGGTGTGTGCTTCACACCCAGCTTGTCTTTTCAACTAGTATTGTCACCCCATTGAGGCACAAAATCTGAGAGTCAGTTTTTAGCTCCCTCCCAACCAGTCCTTCCTCACCACCCCCAAATTAGCCTCCATTCAAACTTGACTAAGAGAGTAGCCTCCTAATGGGTTCCCAAGTTAAGAGTTCTCACAGAATAATGTCCAGACAGCCGAACTGATTAAATACCTTGGATGACAGATCAAATGTTTCTTTGTTAACATTTGGTTGCCTGTTCTTTTGATGTCAAAGGTAAATCTGTTTTTGACAAATTTTAGGTAAGGGAAATTTCCTCTTATGTTTTTCTAATGGTTTAGCACATACATTTAAGAAAGTGTTGGATCTTTAAAATAGAATGGTTTTATGCATTTGTAGTCTCAACTACTGGGCAGTCAATTTCATCCATATGTACTTGAAAAAGAGGTATTTTATTTCTTGGCATGCATTTGTTCATAACAGAATTTTTTAAAATTTCTGAAGGTTGGTAGTAATGCCTTTTTCATTATTCCAGCAATTTAAATCCTCTCACCCTGCCCCTCTTCATTGAGCCTACTAAGTGAATGCCAGTTCTAATTTATAGAATTAACTTTTGGTTTTAGTGACTTTGCTGATGCATTTTTTTCTGTTTTGTTAATTTTTTTATTTGAACTGCCCACCCATATATAATGGAGGTATAGTAACTCATGATAATTATCCTGTCTTAGCCTCTTGAGTGTTAAGATTACCAGCTGAGCCACTGTGCTGCTTTCCCCAGCATCATAAGGCGAACAGTTAATGACTTTGCTCCTTGCTCTTACTCAGCGTGCACTCATTGGTGGCTGATTCTCTCTTCTATGACAAACCATATCAACCACATTGCTTAAGTTCTGGGATACTGTGTTTTCTCACTCATTTCTAAAAAATGTCTGGTTCTAGTTACTACTTAGGTCCACTGCCTACTTAAAGGGACTATATTTCATTTCCACAAATTTGTTCAATGTCCGTGAGTGTGTGTGTGTGTGTGTGTGTGTGTGTGTGTGTGTGTGTGTGCTACTGATTTCTACCTTTATTCTGTGGGGAGTGATGAACACACTTCATAGCATCACCATGGTCTATCTGGGAGGATGCTCCTTGTGCACTTCATTGTTGCACACACTATTTTATTTTAGATCTGTTTGGTTTATCATGTCACTAACAACTCCCTAACTGGTCTGCCTTGTTGTTAGATCATTAATAGAAGGCACAGAAATTCCAAACCACTACTGTTAAATTTTTTATTTTCCCCCTCACTTCTGTCAGTTTTTACTTCATGTACTTTGGTATTCTCTCATTAGGTACACTTATAATTGTTTTATCTCCTGAATTGGTCTTTTTAAAAAATGCATAAAATGTCATCCCTTCCTCTAGTAAGCTGTATTTTATTTAAACCTTTACCATCAAACACACAAAGATGCATGAAGACATAGAAAATATATATACACACATACACTTTATTTCTATTTTATATGCATTAATATTTTGTCTGTTTATATGTCTGTGTGAGGGTAATAGATTCCCTGGAACTAGAGTGACAGCCAGTCTTGAGATGCCATGTAGGGGTTGGGAATTGAGCCAGCCAGTACTCTTAACCACGAAGCCATCTCCCCAGACTAGAATATATATTTTACATGAACAATAAATGCAATAAATGAAGCACAAAAACATAACTTCAGATATAGCTTCTAGCCAATCTCCCAAAATGTATGAGTCTTTTCTATTTTGGCTTGGATTCGTTAGTTATTTTACACAAGTATAATACATACACCTACATGGGTATATGTATATTTTATTTTCACTTAAGAATTTGAATTTGGTTGGATTCTTTAGTAGACCAAATCATTTGTCACTAAAATGTTCTAGTTTCATGTAAAAAAAAATAGTTAAAATAGCTTGAATTTCATCTAAAATGAATTTAAATTTTTCCATCTCACACATGCCTTTAATCCCAGCCAAGGCTACTCAAAGAAATCCTGTCTCGAAAAACCAACTTCCTCCAAAACCCCCAAACCAAACCAAAATCCATCTCCTGTAGTTAATTCTGCATGTATTAATTTTAGAGCTAAAAACATAAGCCGGGACAACTTGATGGGAAGGATTTCCCACATGGATTGTTTTCCAAAATAAAGCATTGAGAGAGGGAAAAAAAAAAAAAAGCCTTACGTTTCCCCACATCTTGTAACTCAGTAAGGCTTGTGTATAGAAATATAGTACCCAGTCACATTCTGCTTCAAATACAGGTGAGGTTAAAAAAAAAACAAAAGAAAAAAAGAAAGAATTCAC